ACGTTTGTTTTTCATATAAATAGCGAAATTTAGGAAAACTGGCGGTGACTTTTTTATTTTTTTTTGCAAACGGTCTTGCGCATATTCTTCCATAAGAAATTCATGTTTATTTATATGGAAAAAAGTGCAAAACGTTTCAAAAAAAAAATTAAAATTATTAAAAATCAATGCGATTTTTTAGCCGCTCAAAACTGGCATTTATCTTACTATAATTTTATAAGTTTGTTAACTGTATACCCAAAAAATTTCTAAAAATTGTGTTTAAAAAGCTTAAAATACAGATAAAAATTTGTAGAATTTTTCTAAGTTCTGCATATAGTTTGAAAATGTGATTTATACAGTTTTTGTTAAAGCATAAACCATATTTTTATAAAAAAATATCAAAAAACATTTTAGCTTGCAAAACATTGTGAATATGAAAAACGAAACACCATTCATCAATTTTTGACCGCCACTGTATGGTTACATATATTTTTTTGAAGTGACGTTAGTGAATTGGAAAACAGTCAGCGAATGTTGTAATGGAAGTGTTGATCTGTGTTTTCCTTTAAAAAAAAAAGATAAAAGTCTCAAGTACAACATGTCATGTCATTTACCTCCCCTCTCTACGAAATGGGCACATTTCCAAAAATATACTACGATCGGCGCGATACTGACTAATCAGTTCAGTTGCATTTGCCCCTGTACCCATAAAAGCGGGTTTTTCTTTTTCAACTGTAATCAATTCTTGTCATCGTGTCATGGATTATTCACGCGGAGGTTTTAATTATTTGTTAGGCGTTTTTCTCTTTTATCTATCACAAAACTGACTTGGAAATGGGCATACTAAAGATAATTATTTAGTAAAATAAATGTGAGTACCGGTTAGTCAGGTCTTGAATTTAAACGCATGTTTTACAGAATTTGCAGTTGACGAAAATATGTGTAATTTTTGATTTGCTTATTATTTCGATTTTCTGCTTCGCTTTGCCTAATTTTGCGAAAGGAACTTTTCGAACAATAGTAAAATCCTCTCAACCGCTAAAAGAATTGTGAAGCTGCAGAGGGAGAGGTTACTGACATGACTGAAAGTCTAATTATGACAACTTAACTTAACGTAACTGAGAACTTAGAAAATCAAAATGAAACAGACTTCGACGTAGCATTAAGTTACGTTTAGTTTCGCCTGTCCAAATATAAGCAATAACCATTTAAGATAATTTTCAAGTGACAGCCTCTAAGTTACGTTAAGTTGACATAATTAGACCTTTAGTCACTCGCTGATCGGGAAGTGTTGTAGGCGGTGCTAAGGTACTCGGCGAGTGAATTGCATCCACCGTACGCTCCGTGTAATAAATGTGCTCAGAAAAATAACTTAAGTCTCGTTTATTATTATAAGATAGAAATATTTTTTTTTTATGATTCGTTATTATTAATTTTTATTAAACTGATATATAAATTGTACAATGTTTACAGCAGGCATGTCCAAGCCATGCAACAACTGTTCACTAGCGAGTTTTTACTAGATTTTTGTTCTCGCTGCAATTTTTACTGGAAAAGTTATTATGCACAACTCACTAATCTCTCACTAAAATAACTGATTAAATAAAATTACACTCTTAAGCATAAATATTTTCTCGATACAGCATTTCTTTAAACATATTAATTTAATTCAAGTATACTTTAAAATGGCTGGCAACCCTATCCAAAAATATGTCGGAAAAAAGCTCTCTCGTACCTGTCTCGATTGACTTGTAATACTTTATTTAACTTATGAAAAAACAGGATACGACTTTTAAACAAATGGTAACACTTAGTGAAATATTTTCAAAACAAAGAAACAAAGATTTCTCAAACCTCGTTCATTAGCCATTGTAAAAACGAAGGAATACCTATTAATCAAATTTAATTTTAGTTTTTAAATAGGTGGCAATTATTTCGTAATAAAACTTTTCTAAATCTTTGACGTTTCATATCCAGACTGTAAAATTTTGTTGATCTTATACTTTAAAATAATTTTACTTTATAAGTGAGTGACAACCCTAAAAAAAATTCTTTATATCAATCCAGGCCATAAGCTGTCTCACTAGCTTTCGCGTTTATAGTGTTAGTAAAATTACATATAACTTGTCTATTAAATTGATTTTTCAAAGCTGGTGGCAACCGGCGTCAAAAATGTTTTCGAAATAAATACAGCTTTCTTAAAATATTTAATTTAACTTATTAATTAAACGGATTGTAATTTTTTTCCAGCAACCCTCTGAAAGATAAATTAAATCATCCTTGAACCGCTTTATTTTGACACATATGGTTATTATTGTAATAGTTTAATTAACCCTTTAATTTGTCAATTTGAAATTTTTAACAGGTGGCAGCCTCCGTAGTTAACGCTTTGGAAATAAATCGTTTTGGAAACTCTTGCGTCTGACATCCATATCATTGTAATTGTTTATTTAACTATTAATTCATTGGTTTTTGCTTTCGAAAAAGGTGGCAACGCTCTCCAAAAACTATCCCTTGTGGTTGTCCAGATTATGAGCAATCTGTGCGCCAAATTTCACTGAAATCCGTTAAGCCCTTTTAGCGTGAATGAGGTACCAACATACTCACACACTCAATCACAAAAATATATTTTAAAATTTATCTGGCGTCAAACACATTTTTTGGTAACAAAATGTTTGTTTTAAGGGCAGATAAATTTTAACACCTACTTGAGAAAACGGCCTTTAGAGGGTTAATGGCAAAGAATTGAAGAGTGTAAACACCTGAAAGAGGGGAAATAGCGAGTCTTTTAAAAATTTAAGTTTTCAACTTATTCTTGCCTTTCTCCATATCTTTATTTGATTTTGTATTAACTCATATGTCAAGTGAGTGTTAAAAAGCTGATAAGAAATTAAATAAGTTTGCTATAAGCAAACACTGCTGTCAAAATATCTGCATAACTTTTGCTCTAGTGTGCGACACTCTGGCTTTATTTATGAGTTTGTTTGTTAAACAACGTTGTCTTTATTACAATTTTTGCCACTCTATTAATTCTAAGGGGATAGGTAGATATGTTAGTATTTTGAGGAAAAATGCATTGTCCGCTAACTGATATTTTTTCGTAATTATTTTTTTTTTCAAAGGTATATTAAGTTGATTGGTGTTTTAGTTACCCCGCTAAAATTTTTAGGGAAGATGCGCTTTAGTAAAATTTCTGAACAATCTTCGACGTTGTACATACATTTTATTCACGAAGTTTCAAAAAACCAATGAACTGTGGAAATATTTCAACACTGTATCTTAAATTTTAAATTTTTGAATTTTCATCTGACGTGCTTCTAATCATCGTCCGCATCACTTGAACCTTCATCACTGTTAGATTCTTTATCAGGAGAGCTTCCGGAGTCTTCGTTGCTGTTTTTGCTAGCAGGCGAACTTTGCGCTGATTCAGCTGATGGTCCCTCTGGTTTCACAATTGTACTCGA